GCTTTGCCAACATACACATTTCGCTATCAATATACGTTCTGAATAAACGTATTCCGTACTTGATCCGCAAGATACGTCCTGAATAAACGTGCTCCGTGCACACTTTTCTGATCATTACGTGACTGAATATACGTGTTCCGAATTATCGTCTGTTTCCTTTATAGCTGGGCTATAGCTTAGCTAGTTTCGGTCTGTTTCCTTTATAGCTGGGCTATAGCTTAGCTGGTTCGATAGCTTAGCTTGTTCTGGGAGTCTAGCTAGATGTTGGAGAATTCTCCGTGCTACTCGTCTGTTTCCTTTATAGCTGGGCTATGGTTTAGCTGGTTCTGGGAGTCTAGCTAGATGTAGGAGAATCTCCCTGGTTCTGGGAGTCTAGCTAGACGTTGGAGAATCTGCCGTTCTGGGAGTCTAGCTAGATGTAGGAGAATCTGCCACAGATATAAACGCGCTCCGTGCTACACGTCTGTTTTCTTTATAGCTGAGCTATAGCTTAGCTGTTCTCTAGCTAGAGGTTGGAGAATCTGCCATAGAGATTTCTGATTCCTAGCTAGATGTTGGAGAATCTGCCATAGAAATTTCTGAGCCGGTAGCTAGATGTTTGAGAATCTGCCATGGAGATTTCTGAGTCGGTCTAGATGTAGGAGAATCTGCCAAAGAGATTTCTGAGTCAGGAGAATCTGCCATAGAGATTTCTAAGTCAGTCAGGCTTTACTTAGGGATCTGCCATAGAGATTTCTGAGTCGGTCAGGCTTTACTAGGGTAGCAATCCGCTACAATAGTTAGTGTTTTTGTAATAAAGGAATTCTTTCAACTTTCTTGGCTGTTATGAGTGCGGAAGATGACGGTCCATTGAGGATTGATATCTATTCAAGAATGCATTATTGGATAGAGTTCTGACAGCGTCCTAGAAAATGAGAAAGATTCATATGATTATGATGAATAAATTTAACGAAATCATTCATAATAGACCGAAGGAAACAAATCAATAAAGATTGTATAGTATAAAGCAACTTCAATAAAGTGATTCAAGGTCGAAAATGTTGCCATTTGAATTAAAGGATTGCTTGAAAAATTCGAAATTTAGACTGTGCGTATGAATGTCAGTGAAGTTCTATGTTGCAAAAAGGCGTCTACACCATATCCGTTGGCCAAAGTTATGCTCACTTTTGAGTCGCATCTACTATGCTGACGTGTGTGCAATGAAATTTTGAGTGCATATTTTATAGAATAGACTGTTACTCACTTTCGTAACCTGGCATCTGACCGTAAGAGGGTAATCAGCTAGGCTTCAACAAAATCTACTGATCCCAGGCATCTACAGGTTACTAATGGCAAAATCCCATAGAAATGGTGTTTTATTAATGGCTGGCATTAATCTGATCAGATCAGTCTCGGAACAGGGGGAAGCTCCCCGCTTGTGAAGGCACCAATTTTAGTTCCTTCCTTCCTCCCACAAAATGGAGTTCCGCATAGAAAAAAATAGTGATTGGGGGGGGGGGATTTTCTCGAGAAATGAAATTCCCAGCGCTCCACATCAAATTTACCGGCGTTCACAAAACGAGAGGAATTGAGCACAGGTAAATCATCCCACCACATCCTCAATCGCGTATAAATTTATTTGTTTATTTATATCAAATGGCAGGCGTTTTGACAGTTATCAGTAGCCCCATTAGTTGACTTCAGGCTTCACAGAGGGGAAGGGGAAGCAAGATCAAAGTAGACAGAAAGTCGAGGGGTGGGGAACAGAAGAGTGGTTTACAGTTGTAAAAGAGACAGACAAAGAGGCAGAGAAAATGTAAAATGATTACTGTGGAAGTGGTAGTATATGGCATAGAATGAGGTGATGGTAGTTTGAAGTCAGAAGTCAACTGGCGGTTAATAGACTTTTTGCCGTATGAGTATACGTTGCCCAGGGTGCACCACGTGGAGGTAAGTCTATCACACACCCGCATATAAATTTATTTATTTATTTATATCAAATGGCAGGCGTTTCGACAGTTATCAGTGGCTCTCAAGTTGACTTCAGGCTTCACAGAGGGGAAGAACACCAAGGTTACAAATTGGGGAGACGAAGAGTGATCCACAGATGTGAAAGAGACAGACAGACACAAAGGTAGATGAAAGGTGAGGTGAGTACTGTGAAGGCGTCGGTGGGGTGATGGTAGTTTGAAGTGAGAATTCAACTATCGGTTTAATGACATTTTTGCCGAATGAGTATACGTTGCCCAGGGTGCACCACGTGGAGGTAAGTCTATCGAATATAAATTGGTACTGTAATATTGCTTAACTGTCATTCATTTTTTGTTCGATATCCAGGTGTCATTTAATTAGTGTAAAAGTGATTAAGATGAAAAAATATTCACAATATATTGCAAAAGCGAACATTAATGCGGAAGATCACTTGGACTTCACTTCAGTCGACGTCATCAATACACTACGAAGGCACAGCCTCCATTTTCTCCCCAGTAAACTCCACCGAAGTGTGCAATCGTAAGTACTTCCCCTAACTATGGATGAATCCTTGAAACACTCAAATCTATATACTCCTAACACTGCCTCAGGTTAATACGACTTTTAATTCTTTTATTCTTCAATTTTCCACCTTCTGTCATGTCAGTTTGGCCATGTTGTGTCCGAATTACCTCGTTTGTTGCAATTAACAAGACTGATTTATGCTGTGGATGCATTAGACCCCATCGGGTCATCTCTTCATGTTTAAATGCTCCGTAAACTGTTTTCATTAATTAAAAGCAGCGATTTCCTCTGTTGTCCTTTCCCCTTTTAGTGCCCTACTCCACGGCGCCCAGCGGATACTATGCTCCAAATGTTATAATCAGTCTTCACAATCGTTACCCGAAGTCTCCACACTCCGTTTTTAAATAGTGCGGTTGGACTCTATATCACCGGTCATTTACTTCTTTCATCTTCGTATCTGAAAGAGTTGTCGTGGATTGCTGTCCTTTCGAAGCCTTGACTGTGGTAAGAAGAAATTCCTATAACAGATTCTCCTATGTTTGGAAAGACACCCAGAGCTAGCCAAGCTACCGCAAAGCCATAGTATGTGTGTGTGTGTGTGTGTTTGTGTGTGCATGCAGACAAGGAGCTTAGTCATTATGGAGGGTTTGATAAACCATGCAAGGACTATTGATTGGGGGTTGGCTGGGTGTTGTCCAAGCTCATGACCGCACTTACTCCCCCCACACACAACTTTGCACGCCGCACCTTCAAGCCTATCTGAGTGGGCATGTGACTACTTGGTCCAGCGGTGACAATGTTGTGTGCTCCACAAACAAAGGTATTAGCGATTGAACGATTACTGGTGATGATTAAATTATGATACCAGAATGAATTAAGGCAACTATTCTACTATATCTTGACAGTGGTAAATAGGCTCTCAGCGTCTGGAGCCTTGGAAAATACCGAAATTGGTACGATTAACGACTCCTCGTCAAGTGCTGGTCTTCAAAGATAATAATGATAATAATGGTAATGGTAGGGACTATGATAAATACTACTGCCAAACGGTTTAAATTTTTTCCGCAAGTTCTGAGAGCAATTTTGAAATCTCCAACGTGGAAATGTTTGTTGGCGTTAATAAATTAGCATCATGCGAAATTACCTCATCTCTCTAGAACACCAAAATAAAACCACGCTTTTTTAATTCTGAATGGAAATTCCCATCAATGGGTTATTTGATGGGACTACGAATATCCTGAAAGTAGGTTTAAGGACAAAATCCCCTGAAATTATAGAAAAGCTATACAAAAAAAACCGAGACCTATGGCAATAGAGCGCTTCAAATTCTACTCTGTAGGTCTAAAACGAACGCCCTGGTGCTAATCGCATAATTTAAACAAATTTAATCACTCAGTCCCACTTTTTGTCGCTTCACGTTCCTCCGAATCGGGGGAAAAAGTATGGTAGCGAAATATTGACGTTGAACGAAAAAAAAGAGTAACTCGCACTCCATAAAAAAAATTGGGTGAATAATGAAGAGGAAATGACTGTTTCTTTTTTGCTAATCTAATATAATTCCATTTTTTTTTGATCGATCATTTGCCTTATCATTATTAATCTCCGTGACTTAGAGTTGGGGAAAAAATAATTAAATTAAATTAAATTTACTCGAATCATTTCAACTGTTAATAAAAGTATTCACAAATAAAAAGTGCACTCTCTGAGGGTTTAATTTTTTTTAACCCTTAAGCGTAGCATTGTGATGGCGTTTCATTTTATTAAATTCACTTCGCCGGACTGTAGACTTTTTAGTAAATATGCCCCGGTCATTTCGTCATGTTTAAACTTTCCAGGAGTTTTATATATTTATTTCAAATGGCAGGCGTTTTGTTAGTTATCATTAGCCCTTTAGCTGACTTCAGGCTTCACAGAGGGGAGGAGGAGGAACATCAAAGTGACAAAAAGTAAAGAGGGGAAGACAGAATAATGATTCACGGATGTAAAGGAGACAGACAGGCAGACAGATACAAAGGCAGAAAGAAGGTAAGATGAGTACTGTGGAAGGGGTCGAATATGACAGGTAAGATGAGTACTGTGGAAGGGGTCGAATATGACATAAAGTGGGGTTATGGTAGTCTGAAGTCCGAAATCAACTGCCAGTTCATAGACTTTTTTTGCCGGATGAGTATACGTTGCCCAGGGTGCACCACGTGGAGGTAAGTCTATCGCACACCCCACTTTCGAGGAGTTGAATTCAGCTAAGACGACTTAAGATGCTTTTTTTTCATGGAGGTTTTTACTCAATGAAGATTGTATGATATCTCGAGTTGTGTGAGTTAGTAATAGGTGGGCATTTCTAATTATCAAAAGCCATTGAAATCTCTGTTCTGAAATAAGTTAAGCACCACGTCTCTAAGTTTTCTCCTCCCTTATCATATGGGGTGTTTCACGCATAGAATTACCAATACACACCCTTCGTGTCATTTCGTCATCATCAGATGCATGCATCCCCCCCCCCTCTCCCACTGATAAACTTTGAAGACATGACCACTTCAGCCTCTACGGTGGTCTCTGATGGATGTTCTACTATCACATCTCTGCCCCTTTTCACTCTACTGAAGTTTACAAAGAGAAGCCTGTAGACTTCTCTTTAGAGTTTCATGCATAGTTTTTTTTGCGAAGCATCGCATTTCCAGGTGCAGATGCTATCATAAAAGGTCAACCAGGAACATGCTTTTCTGCTGCCAAGGCTGGTAATTTTGATTAATCTGATTTGTAAGTGGCCAAAACGGAATTGCATGAGAAATAAAATTTGATTGCAGGCATATGCGAATGCGATCCATACCATAAAGAAGGGAAAAAGAAGAAGAAGAAGAATGAATACCAGCACAATTTCTCCTGGAACGTTTTTAAACTCTAGAAAACCGTAATAGGTGAAATTCATCATGTGATCACTGGCTTTGAAAGCGTATTCTAACGCCTTAAGACAGGTTTTAAATTTACTGAAGAGACTAAAACCTTCATCGATTTTGTTCTCATATCGAGTGTACTATTTCTCCTGAAAGCACAGATATTCAAAGTGAGATTGAAACATTGCAAATGGTTATAACTCTTTGGGCGAATGGAAGCAAGGCCTTCAATCGGAACTGGGTCCATTTAGATGTCTTGATTTTACGAAAACAAAAAACTTAAATTCTCCATTTTACAAACTATATTCTAGGAACTTTAAATAAATGTACGGAATGAAAGTATTCGAAGATGCTTAGAAATCACTTCTCAGTTTGTAGCGGGTTGATACACTAAGCCTTGACTGACCCAGAAAACTCTGTGGCAGAATCTCCTATATCTGACTAGAATCCCAGAACTAGCTAATCTATAGTCCAAGTGTAGAGGAAGCAGACGTATCACACGGAACATATTTTTTAGGAAGTATATTGTGGTAAGAGTGTACACTCCATAAGGTTAGTCATAATCGACATGAGAGATGCACTTTAACAAACGAAGGCATCTGATTGGCCATTGGTTGAGCTCGCAAACGATCACGCCGTAGACGACGACGTGTTCCACAAGTTCGAATGATTTTTAAAATATATACTATTGCAAGTAAGAATTAATAATTTTGGAGTTTTCATTATGTTCTTTGATGCTCATCTTAAAATTCTCAGTTGCCCTCTAATAAAGCTACATTTACTCAAAGTTATAGTCACTGTGAAAGGAGAGACTTATACCTCATATGACGATTTAATTAACAAAGAACATTAACTTATTTGTACTTGAATAGGTGCTAAGTGATTGGCTGTCTGGTAAACCAATAATAATAGGTGTGAGGGTGAAGATTCAACGATCAATAATGGCATGAATGGTGTGGGAACCTTTGTAAAATGTCTGATTAAGCGCTCAAAATGTAAAATGGAACATTTTTTCCTTCGTTGCATTAGATCATATGTCTTGGAGGTATATTTTGCAAAATCTAGAAGACTAGGAAGTCCAACATATACAAGTTAGTTTTAAAAAGTCTTAACACAACCTGGCGCCTTGAAATTACATGTAAATGTTAGACCTGCAATGTTCTCTTGGACAAGTTATCCATCAGTCCATTCCTAAACACTAAATTTGCAGTAATGTCCGCTGAATTTTTAAGACGCCAATAGGCACTGTATTTAATTAAGGCATGGGAGAGAGAATTGAATAGATATTGAATGGATATATTTGGGCAAAGCAAAATATCACAAGAAGTTTATTTATTTATTTCAAATAACAGGCTCTATGGCAGTTATCACTAGCCCTTTAGCTGACTTCGGGCTTCACAGAGGGAAGGAGGAACATCAAAGTGGCAAAAATTCGAGAGGGAGAACAGATGAGTGATTCAAGGATGTAAAACAGATAGATAGACACAAAGGTAGGGAAAAAGGTAAGATGAGTACTGTGAAAGGGGTCGAATATGACATACAGTGGGGTCATGGTAGTTTGAAGTGAGAAGTCAACTGCCAGTTAATAGGCTATTTCGAGTATGAGTATACGTTGCCCATTTGGCACCAAAT